GGACCCTGCTGCGCCTGACCGAGGGGTCCCTGCGGCGCATGGGGGTCACCCCGAGGAGCCGGCGCCGGGAGCTGCTGCGGGAGCTGCTGCGGCTGCGGCTGCAGGAGGAGATCCAGGAGCTGCGGAGCATCGCTGGCGGTGAGCATCGAGCATCCCCCGTGCGGGGGCCGCACCCGCTTGTCAGGAAAATTAATCCACAAACACCAGAAGTTTATGCCCAAAAAGGAGACAGAGGAATCCTTTTACTTTATTTGAATAAAGGGAGAGGCCATGGGGCATTCCCCTGGGGTCTCTCAAATTTTTGGCGGTCACAGCCTCCCTTTTATCCTAATTCCCGGCCGCTTGTCCCTTCTCTCTTTCCCCATGGGTTGAGGTACTTGAGAGGTACAGGCTTCCCGGAACGCCTGATTCCTGGGATACCTCCCCCCAGTGCATAATCCCTTCTTAATTCTTAACTCTTGTGGAGTTCGTGGTGCTCTTTTAGTGCCTCTTTAATCTTTCAATGGAATCCATCCCATTGTTTCTGTTATCTCGCAGTGATAGTTTCATCTTAGCAGCTTGTTTGTAAAGACAAACCCATCATTCCTCTCAGCCCGATCCCTTAAGTTTTAGCTTTCGTATTTTTCATATTCCGTGGTGCCAAGGTTTGTGGTTCTGAGCTTCATAGGAAGTGTCAGTGAGCTCTCTTCAGAGTGCGTAGACAAAACAATTCCTTTTCCAGCCTGATGCCGAGGACAGTCCTTACAAATTCCAGTCCCACAAAAATAACCAGTGGTGGACTGAAGAGAGAAAACAAGAAGGATGGGACCTCATAACCTGAAGCAGTCATTGGACAATTAACCCTGATATGCAGATGGACCAAAACTTATAAAAATGTGAGACCTCGTGATCAGTTGTCCATTTTCTGACCATTTTTAGGTCCATCTTGGGTGTAGCCCTGGCCAGGCTGTTGTACTGCCCAAGGTGTATTTATTTCAATAAATACCTACTTTATTCTTAATTCTGTCCTGCCTCTGTTCTAGGTCAGCCTTCTCAAGGCATCACCCCTGGGGATGAGGTTGTGAGAAATTTAAAATAATTTAAACTTTAATAAGAGATAATAAGGGATAAAGCAAAAGTCACATGTGCACATCTGTAGCCAGATGCACACAGTTAATTATAACAACTCTTCTCATCTATTTTTTCATTGCATTGGTCAAATGCATATTCATGGAGATGATACATATCCAAACATTCCTTTGAGTTTATGTTCTGGGAATTCTTCAGCTTAGTTCGACCCCTGACCTCATCTTCAGGTATTTGCCACAATGCAGACGTGATTTTTAGAGTTTTGATTTTATTTTGATATGAATATTTGATATTATTGGATATTGATTTTATTTTGATTTTGTATTTTATTTCTTCACGAGGCCCCCTGGTCTGTGGTTTGACAGTTATTGATAGCTGAAGGGACAGTGGTGGATTCCTCCTTGCTCTTTCCGTGTTATTTGTCTGGTTCTTTTTGATATTACCTTATCCTACAAGTTTTAGCCATTTTTACAAGTACTTTCAATCAGTATTGGTTATTTCACTATTGTCAGTTAGTTACAAAAATAAAGGCATTACTTATTATTTCACAACTACAATTACTTCTGCAAAAATTAATGCTATAATACACAGGACATAGTCTCTATTTTAGTATTTTGCAAGAGCTTAAACTATCGTATATTTATTACACTAAAATATGCAATCTACACTGGGATTAGGGTATTAACCTTAATTATATTAATTATACAGTAATTATAAATTTATGGCTAATTATAAATAATATTTATCGAAATTATGTTAATATATTATCATAATAATATATTAATATTATATTGATATATTAATATATATCTATATAATAGATATCTATCTATATAATAGATAGATATATTGTAATATATATTATATTTATTAGATATATAATATGCAATATATATAATAATATATATACTATATACTCTATACTATATAGTATATACAAGATATATAATATATATTATAATATATAATAATGGACTATAATATAATAATTAATACATTTAATATTTTAATATATTTAATTAAATAAATTATATTAAAATTATATTATTTATATTATTTAAATTATAGACAAGTAATAAATTATTATATTAAAATATATTGATTTAATAATAATATAATAATATATATTAATGTATTATTATAAAAATGATATTATAAATTCTATCAAAAGCAGTTAAAAAGTGATTACAAACTGTACTATGTCAAAATAATTTGCAAAATCCAGCAACTACATAGTTATTTATTACAGTGTCACCTTCCCCCTCTCCCCAGAGTGAGGATGATGTCCCTGCAGATGTCCCGGAGCCGGTGGGAGCAGAGGAGATGGCGTGTGAGAACAAAGCAGCTGGGACTGAGCAAGACATGCAGGAATAGTGCTGGAGGAGCCCCGAGATCACTGTGACCCCCTGAAAAATCCAGAGCCTGCCCAGTGCAGGAGCTGACAGCAGAACCTTAGAAGCAAAATTTGATCCACGAGGCCGGGCAGCTACCCGGGCCAGGCAGAAAGTAGTCCTAGAACAGATCTTGTGTGAAATAGGGGCTCACAAACACAAAGGCACTCACTGGAGTGCTGAAAAACTTCTGAAACCTTTGCAAAAATCTGTAATTGGGTTGAAAATGGCTCAGACTGTGCAATCAAGAATCCAACAAAGGGTAGTTTGTTAAAGAAACAACCCTAACAAGGCTAGCAAAATAATGCTGGGAGCCATAAAATCTGGAAATGTGGTGGGTGAACATTGGCAGATTGATTCCACTGAATTGCCCAGACATGGAGGGTATAAACCCCTCCTGGTTCTGGTGGCCAGAATCCTTCCCTTGTCACACCAGCCAGGTTAGGGAAGTGACTGAAGTACTGTCAGTTCAAACCTGGATTGGGGGTGCCTTTGGGAATGTCATCAGACAGAGGTTCCCACGTTATTGCAGAAGGGCTTCCAGAGCTTGGGAAAGCCTTGGGAATAGCTTGGGATCTTCACACTCCTTATAGGCCCCAGGCTAATGGCAAAGTGGAGTGAGTGAATTATGCAATCAAATTGCAATTGGATAATCGGGTAAAATATGTCAGGAAACCTCCTTGGCCTGGGTCCAAGCCTGACCTGCTGCTCCACATCAAAGCAGAATTCAGCCATGGGCCACCAGCAAAATCAGCTCCCGTGAGCTGCTCTGCAGACGACCCTACCAAGTGCCACACTCCAGGAAACAGAGATGTTAAAAGGAGGGGTCGATTTGAATAATTCCTCATTTCTCTTAGTAAAAGCTTACAGAATTTGCAGCGGGCAGTGATGATCTCCAGATGCGATTGAACGCGCCAGGGCGTGAGTTCAAACTGAGAGATTGAACCTGCTTGAATGACAGGGGAACTGCTCCACTCCAGCCAAAGTGGGAGCACTTTCCAAGTGCTGCTGGCAACTTTTACTGCCTTGGAACTGGACACAGTAAATTCGTGGATACATTAAAGCAGAATTAAAAGGGATGAAGCCTCTAGGGAAGAAGTCAAGAGCTTGCCATGAGCTGTTTTACAAAACTGAATGGCACTAGACCTTGTTTCAGCATCACAAAGAGGAATATGCACTGCCATAAACTCCAGTTGCTGTGTGATCAAAGTGGTAGAGTGTCCACAGATGTCCAGGAAATCTGAAAACAAACCTACACACAAGCACAGCTCAAGATGCATCTCCTGGGGATTTGAAGAAATCTGGACCAAACTTTTTTCATGGGTACTCAGCTGGATGTGGTAAAACATCTGTTTATAATCTACTCCATAATAATTACTGTATGCTTTTAGCCTGCATCAAGACTCAGTGTTGTAGCTGTTTTAATGCCTTACACTCTGAAAGGAAATATAAATCTTAAATAGACTGCTTCCCACAAGAAACTTAGTCTCAAGAAAAGGACAGGAGAACAGCACAGCCTTGGAGAAACAGATAAAGGGTGTAAATCAGGCAAACAGAAGTCATGCAAAATACCAGCTCAGCTTTGCAAGGCACAGTTGTACAAAGCACAAGTTCTGCAAAAGAAGGGTATTGCCCTTAATCAAGAGCGAGGGTCGTGGAACATGCCCCTAAAAAGAACACTGGATATTGAAGACAGACCCCAAAGAACCATTTAAGGACTTCTGGTAAGGTGTGTGACTGTAAAATTAAGTTAAGTGGGGATAGCTAATGAATATACAACCTGTGTGTGTGATAAAAGCTCTGTTCATCCAACACTCGTCAGACTTGATCAGAGGAAGTATCCCCCAAACGAGCAGCGCTGTAATAAAGAATGGCTGGTTTCTAATACTCAAAACTGCTTTAGAAAATTTTTCTCCAGCCAATTTCAGTATCAGTCTGGTGTGTTCTGTAGCGCAGAATTGCAGCCTCAGCTGGTTTTTGTACTGCTTCCAATAGCTGGGATATTTGTGTCCCACATTTGGTCGATGTACCTTGGGCTGATTACAAACAGCTCTCTCTCCAGGGCATGCACTGCACCAAAACAATCTCCCCAAATATTCACTTTCTTTCTCTGTCCAAAGGTCTTGCGGGATCTAGCAAGCCCAAGGATGGAGCCCTCATTAGTGTGTTAAATTTTTTGAAAGCAGCCCAAGTGTCATCAGTCCATATAACAAAATCTTATGGGCAAATATAGGTTTTAAAAACCTATACAAAGGTTGGACCAATATTCAAAATTACTGACCCACTCCCTGGCCATTCTGAGAAAGGCACACAATTCTGTTACAGTTCATGGAACATTCTTAACTTCCTTTGACCTCAGAGAATTTCAAAACCCAGGAAGGTCACAGTCATTTTCATCACTGAGGGTCTTTTCCCTCAATAGCCTGTAACTATTTAATCTTAAAAAGTTTCACAATTCAGCAGGTCTCGGTGCTGTTCTTTAGTTTTGGTGGCTAGCAGGACATCATCAATATATTGTAACAGAGCCCCTTGTGGATTAAAGAACTTCTGTTCTTCTAATTCCTTTGCCAGTTGTGGTGGGTTTTAGTGCTGGCTAAAATCACCAGGGCACTTGCTCATTTCCTGCTGTGAGATATGGATTAGGAGAAGGGCAAAACAGGCTTAAAACTTAAAAGGTATAAAGAAACTTTATTAACAGGACTACAAGAATAAGAAGCATCAGAATAAAACTTCCTTTCCTCCCCCTGCTCAACTTTTTCCTTTCCCAACTGACCACGTAGAGACAAAACCTGGGATGTTAAAGCAGTACCAACTATACAATAATCTTTCACCAGTTCTTGTAGGGAGAGGAGTTTTCTCGTGTCACGCCATGGAGACTTCTCCACAAGAAACACTTTTGTTGTGGCTTTTCATTTCCACAAATAGCAGCTGCCCAGGCAAAAAGTTCTGCATCGTGAAATTCCTCCAATTTTCACAGCCCTCCTAGAGGTGTGTTCATGGGCCATGAACTCATGGGGTATTATTTTAAGGATGAGTTGCTCAAAGGGAAAGGTTCTCTCCAACTGTTGCTATGATCATCTCTGGGAACAGAGGTTTTCTTCTTCTCTCCCTGGGGGCAAAGGGTCTTCATCAACTCTCATCTCTCTCTGTCCAAGCTTCTCATGGGATCACAGCTACTCTAACGTCTGCTTGGCTTCATCAGTGGATGCCTCTGCTCCGATCTACAGCTTGAATGCTTCATCCCCCCATACTTTCTCATGAATTAACGTTTGGCACAGCTTTGGTCAGGGAGGACATAAGGAATATCTGTGACTTCTGTTAGTGGTCCTGGTTCTCATGCAAAAAAAGAAGAGGGGAGAGCTGTAATTTATTGGCCACTTAGATATCTGTACCAGGGGGAGGAATAACCTATTTGCGATCTGCTCAATTGTTTGGACTACTTTTGTACTGAGTGGACTTTCATTCCCTGAGAGCTTTAATCCTTCAGAGAATTAGGATATTATCATCCCTCCATAGAAAACCAAAGGTTTGCAAACCAAAGAATGGCCTTTTTTTAGCCTCTGTGTAGTGTTATATTTTGTAAAGTGACTCTCAATGGATGACGTTAAGGCAAAGGACTTGCTGCTTTGAGATGGGAAGCAAGCTTGCATATCTTTCACATTCTCCGGCCATTCCAATTGATTGGTGAAGTTAAATTAAAAGAGATATTTCAGTATATCATTGTCCATCTTGGCCCTATCAAAAAAATTTTCAGCCCCATTAGGGCATCTCCTCATCCTCCTTCCATCTGAGGCTTGACTCATTCTTTTACTGACCTTGGTGTTTTCAAGTTGTCTTTCTAGGTGTCACTCTGTCCTTTTCTCTCCCTGGAGAGAGGACCAAGGTCTGCAGGTCTCATCTGTGTAGTGACAGGGTTAAATCTCACCCAGTGGCCGCAGCAGTCACGGTGTTGGATTTCAGGCTGTGCCGTGCACCTCTCTTTGTCCGGCAGCCGCTGGAAGTGGGGGTTTGACCTGGAACCATCGGTGCAGGCCAGATGCAGGGACCCCAGGGAGGGGGTTTGGTGTCAGTGAGTGTCAGCAGCCGTGGCCTGGTGTCGCATCTCACCGGAGCGGATCTGGCTCCATCACTTTGGCCTGCAACAGGAGCAGGTCACACCCCAGGAGCAGGATGACCCCAGGTGTGACTAGAGCACTTGCTCTACGGCTTTTTGGCTGTCAGTCTGCGCTCTGAGGACACAAGGATGAGAGGGAGGTCTTTTGCATGGGATAATAGAGGATTTATTGCTCTGGGGAATCTTGGGGGCAAAAGACAGAAAAATATGAGTGTGCAACAGCTGAAATAGGGAGGCGGTTCAAAAGGAGGGTACAAAGCATCAGCTAATCAGAGATATCCTGGGGAGGGTAAAAGGCAGGGTTCACAAAATCATCCTCCAATGAGGGAGGTAGTGGGGGAAAGCTGGGACACACGGACTAATCAAGCATCGAGGTTTAGGGGATTTCCGAAGTGGAATTCCAAGCATGCGGTGGGCCTAAGACAGATTGACAGGAGACTCAGGGTAGATTGACAACGTGGAGAGGGAGGGTCTCATTTGGACCAAACCATCAACTTAGATAATAACAGACCACACCATTAACAAGAAACACACTGCAACAGCTTGGCCCAGCCTGGGGCCAGGGCCCGCAGCCTCCATCCCTGCCCGGAGCCGCTGGGGTCTGGCCTGGCCTCCTCCAGGCCGCACAGGCCATGGGGGAGCCAGGCCGGCCTCACCAGAGCTCTGCTGCCTTTCGAGGCCAGAAGCAAAAAGAGAGAGTTCCTGTGTTTGTGGTTTTTAAAATAGAATTCACAGAGGTGGATCTAATTTCTAAATGGTGCAAAATGTTGTCAGTTCTCAGAAGGAGCCAGCTATAGGCCAGTAGCCTAGGACAGAGAACAGAGGAAGTTCTCAGTAGCTTCTCTTAAAGAAATCACTTCTGTGGGTGGTTTCTTGCTCCATTCTCCAAATGTCAATCAATGTGAAACCACCACAACCAGTTGATTCCCAAAAACCGTGGGGCTATTTTTTAAATCCTTGTGGCAGTGCAGTCCTGTCTGTGGATTTTCCCACTCTAATGTGAATAGATCCTGGCTGTGATGGCTTAGAGGTATGCAGAGAGAAGTGTCCTTTGAATCTATTACAGGGAAATAGTCATAATTTTCTTTTAGCATGGTTAAGAGTGTGTAAGGGTATACTACTATGCTATTTAATCGATTGCTCTTAAGTCTTTTAATTTGAATGTCCCCTTCCTGAAACTTGATCTCTGCATCCAGTTTTTCCAGTGAGTTTCCTCCTAATAATGGTTTTGGAGAGTTAGGCAGGTACAAAAATTGATGGGCTATCCATAATTTTCCCAGTTTGAATGTAATTGGCTTGAAAAAGGGGAGTGTTTCATGAGTCCCAGTGACACCACTGGCACTGACAAAAATTGATGGAATCATCACTTCTTCCCTTGCAGGGTATTTAAGACTGAATAACAGCTCCTGTATCTATCAAAAATTCTAATTTCCCAGTGTGGCTGTTACCAGAGGCTCTTCTGAGGTGGAAGCCTCTGGTCCCCTTCATATTTCCTCTGCTATTGCCAGGAGAGGGATCAGAGAACTCCTGAGTTCTAGCTGAGGACACTCCTGCTTTTAATGTCCATCCTTTTTGCAATATGCAACTTTTACCTTCCTCCTGAACTTTCTTTTTATGTGTGGCTGCAGCTGCCCTTCTTAGTTTTCTATGCACTGGTCCTGCAGCTAAATTTAAATCTTCTTTCTCTTGACAATCTAAATGTTTAGAGCAGACATATCCTATGCTACACATTGAGCAACCATGTTTAATCCTTTTCTTCTTATTTTCCTTCTCAAAAACCAAAACCAAGGGTCCAAAGGTGCAGAATTAACTCTACAATCCTTTGGCTATTCAGGGTGATTTCTCAAAGAGAAAAACATTTCAGCAAACATCACTTCATCCCATTTTTCCTCTCAGTGCAAGAACTACATCAGTTTTAACAGAGTGTTACAGTCTAAGGTACTATTTTGTGGGCACCTTTCTCACTGAAGAACCAAAGTTTCTTTTCAAAGGACTGTTTCACCACTCAAGGCCTGAGGAGCTGAACATCTCAACCAACTGTGAGTAGCAGAGAAGATACACAGAAGTTAAGGACTAGCAACAAACATCAACTCCACACATCACCCCTGGCATGGTCAGAGACTCCTGGTCTGGGAAAAGAGAGATAAAAGAAGAAAGAATGAGAACCTGATTAACATGGAAGGCAAAGGGATCAATAACCGATAGGAAACCAAATACTAAAAACTCTGTAATTTGGGACCAGTGAACATGGAACCAATTAATTTCTCTGGGGTATGACTGTATAAGTATGGGAAAAACCCAGTAAAGATCATGTGCCATGGAATGATTTTCTCTACATAGCTAAGCAAAGTGTGGCTGACAAGATTTCTGTTGCACATCCTGGCCAGAACAGCATCCTGGCCACAATGAAGTCATGCCTTCATTCTCTAACAGTAACAAGATGTTTGAGAATTTTTTGTTTTACCTGTAGTTTTGGTGAAGGGAAAAGAGCCTTTCCCATTTTTGTGCACAAGTGTGTGAACACGTGGTGTGCACCTCTGTGTCTGTGTGCGCTTCCACAAGTGCACGTGTGTGTGTGTGTGTGTGCAAGGGGCAGGGTTTGCCCCACTGCTGGCTCTGTGCTGGGTCCTCAGGCTGCTGCAACACCTGGGAACATCACCAAAACTGCAGGAAGAACAAAAGCTCTCCAGCAACATTCTTAGTTTTAGAGAATCAAGACATTACTTTATTATGGCTAGGATGCTGTCCTGGCCAGGATTTGCAACAGAATTTTTATCATC